GAGGTATCTTTTATTTTTTTTTTTTTTCCTTTTTGTTTTTTTTTTCGTGACCGGTAACGGGATCGCAACCCTCGGTGTCACACCCGTACCGTGACCAGCAATGGGATCGCAACCCTCGGTGTCGCGCCCGCACCGTGCTCAACCAGTGAGCAGACCGGTCTCTATATGGGATCCGAACCCTCGGCGGGAGCGCCACCGCGCTCCCAAGCGCCGCACTCTACCGAGTGCGCCACCGGGCCGGCCCATCTTTTATTATTTTTATAGTCACTCAGTATCCTCTTATTGATTAGTCTTGACTCTAAATGATTCTGATCCGGTTTCAAAAATCAAGACTATTTCAAAGGAATTTGGTTTAATATACCAGAATAAAAGTTTTTTTCTTAGTGTTTTAGTGCCTTTAAAGAAAATATTTTTCTTTAATGTTAAGATTTTATACCACTTAGGATAGTGGAGGAGAAATGCCATAGGCTACAAAGAAAATTTTGACAATGAAGTTTCATAAATGTTTTGCTGGCATTGAAGGAGAAATAATACTAATTCATGTTTTAGTCAAGATTCTTTAAAGAACTTGTGATGGAACTTTAGTTCAAAACTAGTGTAGGCAAATAAGTACTTTCCTGGCTTCTATAGCTAAAAATTCCCAGGGCACACTACCTTCAGGCATCACTGGATCCAGGGTTCTAAATGAGCCAGGTAGGCAAAAGAGTTTCGAACTGCCATGCTAACTTAGAATCCAGTGGATGGAAGCAGTCTTTTCTGGTTCTTCCAGCAGAAGGATCCTGACGCAAATCTGATTAATTGAGCATGGATCTCATGTCCATTCTTCATGCATCAGTTGTTGCCCAGGAGACAGGGAGTGTTGTCCAGGCCTGGATCACAGGCCAGATTGGACTATGGAACACTTTGAGTAGGCCCACCTAAACCACACAGAATGGAGTACTACTGGAAAGAGAGTTTCTGCAACCAGAAGCAGGAGGAGGGGGTGCTAGGCATACAACCACCAATGTTCACTGTTGTTTTCTTTCTCTTTGAAAGAGCTGTTCTTTCCTTCAGCATATAAAGTCTTTACTATGTGTCACTCCATTGTACTTCATAAATGAGATACAGTCAGTCAAACTGGGTCTTGCTTTGCAATCTTGGTTCTTCAGTTGTGTGCCACTGTGCTCTTTAAGGGACTCATAAACATTATGGTCTTTTTAAGCCTTTAATAAAGTGGGAGAATACCAGGGACTGCTGCATAAGTACTTCAACGCCATACCAAGTGTAATCAGTGAAGGCAACTGGACTGCCAAGCCGGACTGCTACCTTCCTCGCCCAGATTCTTTCCATATCTTCCGAGATCCGATCACTGGAGACATCCCCTGGCCTGGGCTCGTCTTTGGCCTCTCTATCCTCTCCTTGTACTACTGGTGTACAAATCAGGTAATTAGAGACATTGTCACTGAAGTGACTGCCTGTGGCAGCTGGTGGTCCTTGGTGCATTGCAGGCTCTGCCACAGTCTCTACAGCCACAGGCAACTGTGGGCCTGTCTGCTCTCCATGGACATACTTCCCTTCCAATTTCTATCTATTGCCTAACTTTGTAAGAAATTTTGTTTAAAAGCAGTTTCTCCCATGGTCCTATCTAGAACACATCAACTATTTTCATGTTTTCCTTCTTCCCTATCACTGTCTAAAAAGTACAATTGCCTAACTTTGTAAGAAATTTTGTTTAAAAGCAGTTTCTCCCATGGTCCTATCTAGAACATATCAACTATTTTCATGTTTTCCTTCTTCCCTATCACTGTCTAAAAAGTACAATTTTTTTTTTGGAGGGGAAAAATACCTTTATTTTTCATTTTGATTATAACGATATATTCTTTTAAAATATTATTGTATTGTGAGGTATACACCAGAAGACTGTCTAACTCATATACGTACATTTTAAAGAATGTTACTGTGAACATCTGTATGACCATTGCCCCAGTTAATAAATAGAAGATAGCCATTATTTTATGATAAAAATGACACATCTTTACTTAAAAAGCTACAATATAAAGAAAAGTTCAAAGGCAAAATCACTGAAATCCTATCAAGAAGTGATAGCCACAGTATTTTAGTGTACATGCTTCCAGACACCTTTCTGTATGTATAAACAAATAGAGATGTATGAATTATTTGACATAAATGAAATTAGGCTATTGCTGCTCTCTGTCATCTCTTGGATTTCTTTTACTCAAAGTGTTGCAGATATCTTTTCATGTCAGTATATAAGTGTCAACATTTTCATTTTTAATGACAGTATAGTCTCTCTGCTGTGTATATGTACCAAAGTATATTTAACCAGTTCTCAGCTGGCAGATTTTGGTGGTTTCCAGTGTTCACAATTATACTGATGCTATGACCGTTCTTAGGCATACATCTCTGTAACACTTATGTAACTCCTAGCTACCTTATATTTTTGGTTCTTTTTGTACATTGTACTTCTTAAATTACATTTCCTAATTCTTTATTATGTATGTACAGGAATGAAGATTTATCTTAGGATATAGGTCTCATATCCAGCCACCTTGTTAATCTCATTCATTCTAATTTATGTAAATTTTTTATGTATGTTGTATATCGTCTGTAAATAATGAAAGGTTTCTTCCTTCCATTCCTGTCCTTGAGCCTTTTGCTTGTCTTTTCACTGTGCCAACTTGGACTTTAACATATAACAACATATAAAGTATCAGCTGTGGTTAGAGATTTTAGCACTTGCCTCTAGAAACAAAGTCAGCATATAGACAAAGGTAAGAACTATTCATAATCTAGGCAATGCAACTAACTAGCTTAGTATATGGTGGTATAAATTTGTATTATCTTGGTTGTATAAAGTTCTCTGTACCCAACAAACAGAATAAACATTCTTTTCAAGCACATTTACAAGTATTGGTCATAATTAGGCTATAAAAGAAGCCTTATTACATTACTAAGGATTAATATCATACAAACTATGTGTTTAGACTAATGGAAAAACTAAAAAATAGTAACAAAAGTATAGTTTTAAGAACCCATTATATTTGTTTTTTTTTGTTTTTTTTTAATTATTTTTATTTTGTCAATATACAATGTAGTTAGTTATTGTGTCCCATCACCGAAACCTCCCTCCCTCCTCCCTCTCCCCCCTCCCACCCAGGTGTGTCCCCTCCATTTTCTTGTTGTAAGAACTTCAAAAAAAAAAAGTTGTGGTTGTTATATCTTCCTCTCCCCCCACCCGATTTTTTGTTGTTGTTGTTGTTGTTGATGTTGTTGTTGTTGTTTGGTTTTTTGTGTGTGTGTGTGTGAGAGTGTGTGTGTGTGTGTGTGTGTGTGTGTGTGTGTGT